TTTAACATCATCTTTGAAATAGTTGGAGAATGCAACCAATAAGGCAACTCACATACATTTCATTATAACATGAGAGATATCATTATAATAACAAGCATAGTCTCCAACATGAATGTAATACAAATCTCAATCTTCACAATACATAGCCTCCAATCATAAGGTAATACAAGTCAAATACCAAGACCATCTTATCATTAAGTAATCATAACCTAAGCAACCCCTAAGAAGCATTTGTGCAATGTATGGTAACTAACATGCATTTACAATGTACAACACAAGCCAAGATCACATTCATACCTATTTAATAGTAAAGTCATCACCTTAGTAACACCTAAGGAACACTTGTGCAATGTGTGGTTAGCATCCCATAATACCAACCCTACTAAGTACTCCTTTGAAGCTACCTTAGTCACGCACTTCATCTTTAGACCTCATTATAATCAATAGTCACAAATAAGGAAAATAGTCATGTACATTACTTGAATTATAAGGAAAGTCATTCATAACAACTATCCATTCAATATACATGCATGCATTCAAATCTCATCAAAATGCAAAGGAACTATCCCATGACATCCTACTAAGTCTGCTTGTGCAATGTGGAAATGAAGTTCCATACCCCCACTCTTACTAAGTAAAACTTATTAAGAAGTCATAGTATAATTTATATCTCATTCATTATCTTTATTATATAGGAAAAGTTGTCATAACCGACATAGACCATGTGAGCTACATGGAATCCGGTGTCATGTAACCTCACACCAAAAGAAGGTGTCCTACTTGCCTAAGGTAGAACTAAATGTATAGCTATAAGGTGGATCCACTAGCTAAAGTCCTATGTTGGCACATAGTTATGGAATAGGGAGATTGCTTCTAGAAACCCGACCTCTTGCATTGGCGGAGGAGCTTGCATCTCATGAGTTCACTTAGATGACCCAACCTATTGCATTGGTGGAAGGGCCTTTACCTCATTGTCCATATACATTCAGTGCTAAGCATTATTTCCCAAAATTATACATTATTAGTCTTTGAATTGCATTTACATGTGTGAAGGAATACTTTGCCCTTCGTTCAATACAATTCATCAAAATAGCGCATAGATTCATTAAAGTGAGAATGTACTTTCAACTTTAGAATCATAATTAGTATGTGAGAATGACTTTAACACTAAGATCATGTGCTCTCATGAGAATGGACTTTCAATCAACACAATAGGATCATCATGGTCATGTACATTACATGCACAATAATGTGTAAAGGTGCATATGAGAACTATACTTTCAATTAACACCATTGATACATCATGATCATGTTTATGCATGGAGTGTGTAATTGTCCTTGCTATGACACAATCAACAACATTATAATCATCCTAGACCATTCATACAATATCAAGTGTAGGGATAAGGGAAGAATAGCCTTTTCAACAATACCATAATATACTCAATAGTCATAAGACTTTCAACTTCTAAGTAAATCATGAGTTCACACAGTCTTGCCAACATGCACAAACCTTCACAATATGCCCTTCAAGGGCTATGGACCAACTCATCCCAAACATATAGCAATAGCACAATAGATAAGGGAATACCATGATCCAACAACTCATCAATACATTAATCACATCATGACTGACACTTTATACTTCAAGCATTCACAAACATGCACATGATATCATGATCAAGTCAATTCATGTTTAGAAGTATTACCCTAAACCAATTCAAGTCTAGGCGGTCTAATCTAAGGCATTATATTGCGAAATTCATCATTCTTGGAGGATCACATTCAAAATCTCAATTTGCCTCTTTCATGGCACAACCCTAGACTATATCAATTCACCTTAGAAATATTAGGTTAATCAAGTATATATGTTAAATCAAACTTAGATCAGGCAATTACATCATAATTAACTCACATACACTCAATTGGACCAATTTGCAAAACCATCACATAATGTAAAGAAGAATCATAGTTAGGGTTAGGAAAAACTCATGGATTCTTTGGAATTCAAGTTAAAATCATCTAAAATCAGTAGTATCATCAATAACAAACATAATTCAACCTTTAAGAACAACTTTGAAAGGAATACATGGGGTTGAGTTGAAACCCTAGCTAATTGGGTTTTCTAGAATTGAGTTAGAAACTTTTGAAAGGGCTCCTTGGGTGATAGCTTCCCAAGGATGAAGAAATCCCATATATTAGTGTAGAATCCAACCAATTTCGTGTAGAAAATCTCCCTTGTTCAAGCTCTAACTTGGTTTCCTTCTTGGTTCTTCAATGGAGTTTCTAGAGAGAAGATTCTTGGAGAGAAGAGTAGTTGGGTTCTGATTTGGGGTCTTGGGTTATAATGACTTAAAGAGGTGTTTATGGACTTAAAATACTTTATATACATGTATAATTACCATATTAAACTACCCCTAATGGAAACTAATTAAAAAGGAATTAATTGGAAACTACCTACCTTGGCCGAGATGTTTGGACAGCTTACAGGTGTGGTTCACGAGACCCCCATCCACGGACCATGGATGGGACCACGTCCCATCCTGTGGGGTCGTGGTTTGGGTCTGCAACTAGCTCTTGGTGACCTTGACCTACGGAACAAGACCACAAGCCATAGATCAATCTACTGGCCGTGGATTGCATCTGTGGTTCACAAGTTTTTTGCCAACTTTTGCTTTAAGGAGCAGCCTTGGGGTTAGGCTTTAGGGTCCCCCTCAAGGACCCTTGGTTGGTCCTTGGGGTTCGTACCTTGACGTTTAACCCCTATAACCCTCATTCTAAGTTTGGGAAGTCAATATACAACCTAAAACCAAACACCAAACTCAAAAGTTCATACATTAGACTCTAGTTTCACCTACTAGTTTCCATTAGACTCTAGCTTGGTCTCACTAGTTTTTCCAAGTTGTTACACTTAGGTGGTTGAAGGTGCCACATCAACACAAAAGGTGCACAAAAATACGAAAAAATGGGTTCAGGGGAAGGGAGGGGGGGGGGGGGGGGTAATAGGACCTAGTTAAGTTTAGGTGTGTGTGAGAATTCGATCATAGTCTAGGAGGTACTTGTACCCTTATCCCCTTTATGATAATTATTTGCATTCATTGCTCAATTAAAACATAATAAAATCATTTAAGAGAAATAAAGTATGCATGAAACATTTCGGTTTTTAATTATTATTTTTTATTTTCATTAGAGTACAACCTAAAATAATGTGTTTTAAAGTTGCTCATTTTAATTCTCACATTTTCATTGTTCATTGTTTTATGTGAATAAAATACACATCTTCTTCATTCTTATACCGATGGTTATAGTGCACTCTACATAACCTGAAAATCGTTCACTTTTGTCATAATATTCGTTTTCAACTTCTTTCACATATATAAATGGTGAGTTCTATCAACTTCTTATATACATGAATACTACCTCTGATCAGTATGGTCTTTTAGGTTATTTACTATTAAGTTTTCTATTTTTGCTAATTAGTTCTTATTTTTTTATTTTGTTGGAAGGTCCTCATTTTTTTTATGAATATTATACTATTGTGCAATTTTTTTTCTATTTATACAACACATATTTTTTTTAATCATTTCTTAATTTATAGCACAGTAAATTTTTAAAATGAAAACTTTATTTACATATATACAATATTAGATTAAAAAAGTGACCTTGCAATTAGTGATTGTCAGAAAAAAGATAGATGGAACAACAAATCAATTAATTTGATGTTGGTAAGTCTTTTTTTTTATTTGAGCAAATTAATATCAATGTCGTTATTAGTCGATACTTGATCATTCATAGCATTACTATATATTCAGTTTTATTTTCATTTTTCAATGAAAGTTGATGACCTACAAAATTCAAACTTTATTCATATTGTATTACATATTTAAAAGTAATCAATTTTAGATTACTAAATTATTTGTGATTCACTAATTTTCTAGTTATCTAACATCATATATTAAAAGTATTAATTTCGTTCTTATTCTTGATTATCACTAGACTATTACAACTTATGAATTTAAGGATTTCGACAAATACAAAACGATCATATGGACTTAAAGTATTGCAAATTATATTTCATGGAGAGGTACTTTATAAAAAAATTATTTTAAATTATTGTTATACCGCATAAAGCACGGACAAATTTTCTAATTCAATATTAAGTTAAAAAATTCATATTTCTAAAGTAGTATAGATAGAAGATAGATATATAGTTTTGTTCTTAAAACAAAGCGAGCTAAATTATGATTTCAAATGTCAAACATAGGTTGATAATAATTGGTATAAGAATTTCCAACAATTAGCAAAAGTTGACATTTCTTCTCACCATAAAATATAAGATTTGATATTTTTTTAAAATATTCACGTGAGCTACTAGTTAAACTTAATAAATTCTATGAGCTCACATCTTTTTTTCTAGGGATAAGAGTCTGAAAAATACCCAACTTTGGTCGGATTTGCTATTGCAATACTAAACTTTCATAAGGACCTATTACCTCCCTAGACTATTTAATATCGTATTTTTTACCTCCTAAACTATTTAATAGTGTATTTTAAAGGTATATATGTGCCCTCGTGGACACATTACTATTTATAATTTTATATTATTTTTTTTGTCCACGTGGACAAATATATATGTTTAAAATACGGTATTAAATAGTCTAGGGAGGTAATAAGTCCTCATGAAAGTTTAGTATTACAACAGCAAATCCGACCAAAGTTAAATATTTTTCAGACCCTTATCTTTTTTTCTATTTTGATTATAAAATGAAAATAATGTCCATTTTTTATAGAAAGGAGTAAAATAATGGTACATACATAATGATAATAGCATAAAACAAGGGATGAAATGTCTGGTACCCCTAGTAAAGTGTCCGTGGTATTAAGTGAGTGGTGGAAAGGTGAAGGGTCACGATCATCTCCTGCTTCCTCACAAAAACAGTGTATGGTCCGATTTGGACACACATATTACTACCCTGTTATAAGTATAGGATAAACTCGTAGAAATTGTTCTGGAAACCCTTATTTTTTCTTTTCATTTTCTTCCGACTTTCTCTGTCAAGGTCTCTTCTTTTCTTTCTTCTCCTCTAATTTCCATCTTACTGTTTGTTTATGCAAACAACACCAGATCATGACTCTTCTTTTGTTTTTCTCTATTTGATTCAATGAAATCACTAAGATCTATAGATGTAGAGTATCATTCTTTTGATTATAAAACATGAAAAACAAATACCTTCGATTGGATTGATATATACATCAGCTTGTCTTTTTCTGATCTGTTCATTTTTCTTTTCTTTAATTTTGCTTTTATGGTGTGTCTTCTTTATTAAATCCGGTGAAACATCTTTGATCTGTTCACATAAAATGATTACTACTTTTTACACCTACTGTTTTGGTTACCGGTAGACTCGTTTTGATGTTTTGAACAAACAGGGCTCAGATTTCCTTTGCTTCAGAAATAGCAAAATGGAGCATGTCCAGCTTCTTTTCTTTATTATTAATAATAAAGCAAACAAACATCTAGGGATCTTCTTTTTTGTTTGAAATAAAAATGTTCTTTGTCTTCTATGATTGCCAAAGTTGTTATATAGATTGCTAATCTGAATTAATTGATAGGCAAAAATGCAAGGAGGAGGATTCAAGCAAATGTTCTCTTATGGAAGTGTCTTCAAAAGTGCTGTCTTACGACATGTCCGATTGGTGAATCCAGTTCTAGTGTCGAGGCCCCTTATGTTTGTGCGCCAGGAAACAACTTCAACTGCTCGTATAGAAGAACATGGTTTTGAAAGCACCAAAATATCTGACATTTTGAAGGGCAAAGGTAAAGGTGCTGATGGCTCCTGGCTCTGGTGTACTACAGATGACAGTGTTTATGATGCTGTCAAATCGGTTAGTTAGTATTTGCATTTTATGATGCTGTTACTTTTATCCTTTATGAGAAACTCATTCTGTGTGTCTATGTCCAGATGACACAGCACAATGTAGGAGCCTTGGTGGTTGTCAAATCTGGGGAAAATAAGTCAATTGCTGGCATTATTACAGAGAGGGGTAAATACCTAGTATCTTAATTTCTTGTTTTTTCAACAGTCATTTCTGCAAATCTAGCTGTATGTTTCAACAAATAATGGAAGCAGGAACTATATCATGTTCATTCACCTCGTCTGTAACATTATTGGGATATTACTACCGACCAACCTTCATTAGTAATGCTCTAATTCATGAATATCTATGTGAATGAATTGTAAGCAAAATGGATATTTACTTAATAATCTATATGTGACGATGTGAATGTTAGTTATAAGACATAAGATAGCATTGACATGAATGTCGAATTGGGGAAGGTCACTGACATTGTCTGTTTCTTTCATTTTATAGTTGTTTTCACCTGAGGAAATGTATTTGTGAATAATGCAATTGAGATTTCTTTTGGAATGACTTATTTTAAGTGTTCCAAAATAAACTTTTAAGCAGTTTTGTATTGTTTGGGTAAAATAAACAAGTGTTTTTAAGCCAAAACCATAAGTTAGAAATCCTAACATATGATTTTTGGTTTATAAGCCATAAGTTCCAAACATGCTCTGAATTAAGCTATAGCCTACAGGCAATGTTTTCTAGTTGCATTTTCGGCTCTCGAGTTTTGTAAGTAAAGTTTACTAGTTGTAAATACATAAGATTTCACACAGTTCTGATTATTCTGTTTTTCTTCAACCTTCTCATTAATTTTCTCCAACCAGATTATCTTCGGAAAATCATAGTACAGGGAAGATCATCCAAATCAACAAAGGTCGGGGACATCATGACGGAGGAGGTAAAACTCTAATGCCCCTCTTATCATGAGGAAAAGAAAAGAAAAGAAGAAATAAAAAGTCAAAAGCATGCAGAGTTTGCTCCCTTGTTTATGTGGCATTTGGTATACATTATTAATGCAAAATGACTAATCATTGTATGCGTGTGTTTGCAGAACAAGCTTATCACCGTCACACCTGAAACCAAAGTTCTGAAAGCAATGCAACTGATGACAGGTGCTAGCTATTTCCTAGTAAACCTCGTACCTCCCTTTGTAGATTTCTGTCATTCATCTCACGTGCTTTTCCATATTTCACTTGCCAGATAATCGAATCAGGCACATTCCAGTTATCGATCAGACAGGTATGATAGGGATGGTGTCCATTGGAGATGTTGTCCGTGCTGTTGTGAGTGAGCACAGGGAAGAGCTGAACCGGTTGAATGCCTTCATACAAGGAGGTTACTAGATAGATGATGATGACGACAAATAAATAGATAGACTGCAAGGTTTCTGCTTTGCAGTTTAAAGATGTCTGAGTTGGGGGAACTCTTAATCTTGTAAATGTTGACATCCTTACATCTTCTCTAGCTTGATGTTTGCCCATGGATATGGGCCTTTTAATTTTGGGATCAATAAGATACCGTCAGTCTGCACTACTATTGTTTTTAAAATATTAGGTTTGCTTGCAATTGGCCAGTGAGTTTCTTTAACCAAAACTGAAAAGGTTATTTTTCGCATTTTGTTTTCAAAAATGAATATTCTATAACGGGATTGTTATCTCTTAGCTTCAAATTGTTCCCTAACCTTTTAAACATACAAAGATTAAAATAACCATAGTAGACTAGGAAAAAAATTACTTGAATTTTGATTGTACCAAGTAACTGTGAATGTTCTTTAAATATATTTAGACAAGTGCAGTGAGTATATCTATGACGAATGAGGCAGCTCATTTTATGTGTCACGATCCAAAACGAGTCATGAGTAGCACCCACGCTTAACCTCATAAGTGAGCGAACCAACGAATTCAACCCCAACTTATGTCGATTGTTCAACTTAGGGAAAACAACCATAATGCGGAAGCTCAAAACTTATTAAAGTAACCAATAAAATAACCTTTACAGTCTATTACATATTATCCCCAAAACCTGAAAGTCATCACATCAAGGACATCTATTCTCAAAATACAATGTCTAAGAGTATTAAAGATATCAAAATAAATAAGTAGAATAGTCTATGTCAGAAATCTAAGGACATCATGCCATAACCGAGAGAATCCAACACAAGCTGTAAGTTATTAATAGCTCACCCTGAAATCTGATGTGCTGGAGACTGACAAGAGCTAAGGGCGAGTCGAACTCGATGTTACACTCACTGCACTCCACAAAAGGAAAATGAAGAAAACACAAGTAAGGGTCAGTACAAGACAATATGTACTGAATAGGTATCATCAGTCAACTCAAAATAGAAACTAATATGCAATAAGTAATAATATAAAACCAACAATGACACGTAACAGGCGGCAAGAAACAACCAACATGAACAAGTGATAGCAACACTAAAGTAAGGACGTAATCAGTCAACAATATCAAGAACACACATGCGAACTCGTGCCTCCACACCAAGCTTTTTAGGGAATTGAGTTCTTGAGATTGAGTACATTAAATTGTTTTAACATGTTTCCCTTTAATGTTACCATGCCGGAATGTGACACCCGATTCAATGATATTGTAACACTCCGGAAACTAGGAGGCTAAACTAGCTTGACATGAGGGTTAAAGTCATGAACGTACCTCCCTGTACCTAAAATATAGGGTTTTGTGTTAGAACGTCAAGGTACGAGCCTCAACGACTAACCAAGGGTGCTTTAGGAGAACCCTTAGAAACTGTCTGACAGTGAGACAATGACCCACGGAGGGGACTCACGCCTCGTGGGTCAACCCACGCCCTGTGGGTGAGGGTTCATGGGTCAAGGCCTCAGAAACAGGCTCCAGTAACTCCACCCATGGTTCACCAGCACGCCACGTGGGTCCATCCACAAACTGTGGTCGTGGGTGGTCACCTGTGAACAATTTTGGTGAGTTAGTTGAAGGGTACTTTGGGGTTTTCTAGTTTTAGTTAATATTAAGTGACGTCGTTTTACACTAAATTTAGACTAACTTTATCATGATTTAAGACCCCTAAATTAAGTCATCTTCCTCATAATTCCAAAATTCCAAATCAAAACCAAATTTTCCCCAAAATTCTCTCTCTAGAACTTCAAGGAAGAAAAAAAGGAAGTTAGAGCTAGGGTTGAAGGAGCAAGGTTTTATCCTCAAATTCATTAGATTTCATTGCTAAGGTATGGTAGCTCTTCATCCATGGATAAAATTCATCCATGGAGTCCCTTCAAAACTCAATTTCAAAGATAGAAATTCCCCAAAAGCTAGAGTTTGACTCCAAGTCGTGGATTCCTTTCAAAAATAATTCTAATGATTTAATTACTTTATATTATGATTGTATTGATGATTTATTATGGTTTTTATGTTGAAATCCCTAAGAATCCATGAAATCCCCCTATTCCCAAATTATGACCTTGTGATGTGGGTGAATTGATAAAAGAAGGATATTATGAGATTATGCTTGTAATAATTGAGCTATTTGAATAATGTTATCATCCATGTCTAATGTAGTAATTCTAGATGTATTGATGGAATATGATCTATGGTCCTTGAAGGGTAAAGTATGAGAATTATGCACGATTATGAGATATATGTATATGCTTTAAGAACACTTTGAGAGTAAAGTGATTATGATTATGATCTAGTTGTTGTGTTGTTGAAAGGTTATCCTCATATACATACCTATGTACGAATATGATATGATGTGAAAGGTTTTCTCACAATATGATGATTCTAAGGTTGAAAGACTATTCTCACCTATTTAATCTATGACCTATAGTAGGAGTTATATTGGATTGAGTGTCAAGACATTCTTCCATGAATATGAAATTAAGTCAAGACTTAATATGAACTCCGTGGGAATTAAGTCTTAGCACCGAGTGGATAGTGATATGAGATGGAAGCCCTCACGATAGTAGAGACCGGGTTTCTAGAAACAATCTCTTGGGATAGAAGCCCTCACGATAGTGGAGGCCGGGTTTTCTAGTAGCAATCCCCTTATCCATAAACTATGTGCCCTCATAGGTATTTAGCTAGTGGATCCACCAAAGCTAAGAGTATGGTTCTACCTTAGGCAAGTAGGACAACCTCTTTACGGTGTGGGGTAGACACTTGATTCTATGTTAAGCTCACATGGTCTATGTCGGTTAAGGCGTATCCCACTATGCTAGTATGAACAAGAATATGAATTATGGACTATAGCTACTCAAGAAGCTTTACTTAGTATGGGTGAGATTAAGGGATCTTATTCATGCATTGCACAAGTATGCATTGAGGGTATTTATGGTATGTTCCTCTTATGGTATGATGATTTGTGAGTTGATTATGCTTTTCCATTATCTTCAAAATGATGCTTTAACTTAGTAAATTGCATGCATTCAACTTAAATGTCCATTTTAGCATAATTTCATGATTTTTATGCATGACTATCATACTTAGTGCATATTTGTACTAACCCATATTTTCCTCAAGTGTAGGGTATGTTCTCAAGGTAATCCTCATTGTGGCTAAAGCTTAGATTTGCTCATTTCTCCTAGCTTGTTGGTGAGTCCTCATGATTCGAAGACAGATGTTTTCACGTAGTAGTTTCATTCTTGTATTTTCCTTTCGGATTATGTTGTATGGGTTGTGTCTCTATTTAATTCAATTATTGTAATAGATGGCTATGTTGAGACAAGTCTAGACTTCCGTTTTCCTTTATAAAAAAATTGGACTTGAAATGCGTTTTTACTCTTATTGTTCTAATGCGTTATGTTATGATATGCTTAGTTAGTGGCTTACATGATACCTTTCGGGATTCTATGTGCCTTGTTACATCTAGGGGTACCCTGGGTCGTGACAAACTTGGTAATCAGAGCTCTAGGTTTAGAATGATTCTAGGATGATATCTCGTAAGACATGTCTAATAGAGTCTTGTTCATAAGTGTGAAGCGCGCCACACTTATGAATGAGAGGCTAGAAGATGTTTAGGAAACTACACTTCTTTCATTACTCTTAAGTCATGCCAGAGTTTAACTCTATAAAGTCCCTCTCCTAATCTTTCTCTTGTGTCTTCAGGATATGAATACAAGAAGGGCAAACGCAAGAAGAATGGAGGGTGACAATGTGAAAGAAGAAGCTCCTCAAGCTAATCAAGCTCTGATTAATCTTTCGGCTATATCGGATGTGGAGGTTAGGTCGGCTTTTCAAATGTTGGTCCAAGCTTTGAAGACTCAAGCTCAAGCGGTGACGGCTTATGCCAATAGAGATGTTGTGACTCATGTGAATCCTAATGTGAATTCGGCTACTTCAAGGGTTAGGAATTTTGCTAGAATGAACCCTCCCGAATTTCATGGCTCCAAACTGGAAGAGAATCCTCAAGAATTTTTGGAAGAGGTTTATAAAATACTTGCTATTATGGGGGTGACTTCGGTAGAGAAAGCGGAGTTGGCCACTTACCAATTGAAAAGTGTTGCACAAGTATGGTATAATCAATGAAAGAGCAATAGGCCGGTAGGAGCAGGTCCCATGGAGTGGGAAGTTTTTAAATCGGCATTTTTTGATAGGTTCTTTCCCTGAGAGTTGAGGGAAGCTAAGGTGGAAAAGTTCATTAATCTTCATCAAGGAAGCATGAGCATGAAAGAGTATGCACTAAAATTCACTCAATTGTCGAAGTATGCTCCAACTATAGTGGCAGATTCAAGGGATGTCTAAAATTCACTCAATTGTCCAAGTATGCTCCAACTATAGTGGCAGATTCGAGGGATGAGATGAGTAGGCTTTTGACGGGGGTGTCCGGCTTAGTAGTAAAAGAATGTAGTTCGGCAATGCTCCATCATGATATGGATATCTCACGTCTTATGGTGTATGCTTAACAAATAAAGGAAGAGAAACTCAAGAAAAATAATAGGGAGGTGAAAAGAGCTAGGACCGGTGATGGGAACTTCTCCAATGCTAGGTCTGGTGGACAAGGTCGACCAAGGTTTAAACAAAGGTTTTCCAACCAAGGCTCCTTTAGTACTTCCCCAAGGGTCAACAAGGATAGGGTGTCTAACCCTAAACCTCAAGGAGGTAATAGTGGTGGTTCTTATGTGGCTAGGCCCAATTGTGCAAAATGTGGAAGAAAACATGATGGTAAGTGCTTAGTTGGCTCGGACGATTGCTATGGTTGTGGAAAGAGTGGCTACACGATGAGAGATTTCCCGATGCTCATGGCCAAGGGGAGAGAAGGCAAACAAGCTCCTCCAAGCGGTTCAAACTCCAATGCCTCAAAGCAAAACCATTTTTATGCTCTTCAATCCCGAGGTGACCAAGAGAGCTCTTCGAATGTTGTGACCGTAATGTTAAAAGTCTTTTCTATTGATGTATATGCCTTGTTATATCCCGGTGCTACTTTGTCCTTTGTGACACCTTATGTGGCCATGAAGTTTGATATGATCCCCGAAGTGTTATAAGAACCTTTTTTGGTCTCCACCCTGGTTGGTGACTCGGTGGTGGCTGAGAGAGTCTATAGGTGATGTCCCATTTCCTTATCCCATAGATTTACTTTGGTGGATTTGGTAGAGTTAGATATGTTAGACTTCGATGTGATTTTAGGTATGGATTGGTTGTATGCATGTTATGCCTCTATCGATTGTAGGACTCGGGTGGTGAAATTCCAATTCCTAAATGAGTCTATCTTAGAGTGGAATGGGGGAAATTCTATGTCTAGAGGTCAATTTGTCTCTTGTCTTAAAGCTAGGAAAATGATCTCCAAATAATGTATTTACCATTTTGTTAGGGTGAGGGATGTTGAATCTGAAACCCCTTCTCTAGAGTCGGTTCTGGTAGTAAATAAGTTCCCGAATGTTTTCCCTGATGATTTGCCCGGTATTCCTCCCAAGCGGAAAATAGATTTTGGTATTGACCTTCTTCCGGACGCAACCTATCTCAATTCTTCCTTATAGAATGGCTCCAGCGGAGTTAAAAGAGTTGAATGAGAAACTAAAGGATTTGTTAGATAAGGGTTTTATCCGACCGAGTATGCTCCCGTATTGTTTGTTAGAAAGAATATGGGTCTCTTAGAATGTGCATCGACTATCGTCAATTGAATAAAGTGACCATTAAGAATAAATATCCCCTTTCGAGAATTGATTATTTGTTTGACCAACTTCAAAGGGCTAGCTATTTATCTAAGATTGATCTTCGTTCGGGTTATCACCAATTGAGGATGAGAGGGGTTGATATTCCCAAGACGGCTTTCTGAACTCGATATGGTCATTATGAATTCCTAGAAATGTCGTTTGGGTTGACTAATGCTCTGGCGGCATTTATGGATTTGATGAATAGAATGTTTAGGCAATACCTAGACATGTTTGTGATTGTGTTTATCGATGACATTTTGATCTATTCAAGGAGTGAGAATGAACATGTGGACCATTTGAGAATTGTATTGCAAGTTCTTAAGGACCAACAACTTTTTGCAAAGTTTAGCAAGTGTGAATTTTGGTTAAGGTTCGTAGCTTTTTTTGGTCATATTATATCAAGCAAGGGTATTGAGGTAGATCCTAAGAAGACGGATGCGGTCAAGAGTTGGCCTAGACCTCTAACTCTTTCCGACATTAGAAGCTTTTTGGGTTTGGTCGGTTACTATAGGAGGTTTTTTAAGGGGTTTTCCTCCATTGCTTCTCTGTTGACGACTTTGACTCAAAAGAAAGCTAAGTTTGTGTGGTCGGAAGCTTGCGAGAAAAGTTTCCAAGAGTTGAAAGATAGACTTACTTCCGCTCCGGTGTTGACCTTACCATAGGGTACAAATCGTTTCGTAGTATACTGTGATGCCTCTAGAGTGGGGTTGGGATGTGTCCTCATGCAAAACGGTAAAGTGATTACCTATGTTTTAAGGCAACTTAAAGTCCATGAGAAGCATTATCCTACCCATGATCTTGAATTAGCGGCGGTTGTGTTTGCCTTAAAAATATGGAGGCATTATTTGTATGGGGTCCATGTGGATGTTCGATCACAAGAGTCTTCAATATTTGTTTAGTCAAAAGGACTTGAATCTTCGTCAATGAAGGTGGTTAGAATTATTAAAGGATTATGACATAAGTGTCTTTTATCACCCCGACAAAGCTAATGTAGTAGAGGATGCACTTAGTAGATTATCCATGGGTAGTGTGGCTTATGTAGAGGATGAGAAGAAAGAATTGGTTCGTGATGTGAATAGGTTGGCTCGACTAGGTGTTCAACTAGTGGATTCCACCAAGGGTGGTGTCATGGTCCATAATGATTCTGAATCGTCCTTTGTGATGGATGTGAAATCTAAGCAAGACCTTGATCCTTTATTAGTTGAGTTGAAAGAGTCGGTACTTAAAAAGTCCGTTGAGGATTTCTCCCAAGGGGGAGATGGGGTGCTTAGGTACCAAGGTCGGTTATGTGTTTCGAATGTTGATGGTTTGAGGGAACAAATTTTAGAGGAAGCTCAAAGTTCTCGGTATTCTATTCATCCAGGAGCCACCAAGATGTATTGTGATCTACGGGAAGTCTATTGGTGGAATGGTATGAAGAAAGATATTGCGGGATTTGTAGCCAAATGTCCTAATTGTCAACAAGTTAAGGTTTAGCATCAAAGGCCGGGAGGATTTTCCCAAGATATAAGTATTCCCACTTGGAAGTGGGAAGATGTAAACATGGACTTTATTGTGGGTTTGCCTCGCACTCGAAGGCAACTCGATTCTATTTGGGTCATTATAGATCGGATGACAAAATCAGCCCAATTTATTCCCGTTAAAGTTTCTTATTCGGCGAAAGACTATGCTAAGTTGTATATAAGGGAAGTAGTGAAATTGCATGAAGTTACTCTATCTATTATTTCAGATCGGGGTACTCAATTTACTTCTCACTTTTGGAATTCATTCCAAAAGGGCCTTGGTACTAAGGTCAAGCTTAGCACAACTTTTCATCCCCAAACCGATGGTCAAGCGGAGCGTATCATCCAAACATTAGAAGACATGTTGAGGGCATGTGTTATAGACTTCAAGGGTAATTGGGATGACCACTTGCCATTAATAGAATTTGCCTACAATAATAGTTATCACTCAAGTATCGGTATGGCTCCCTTTGAAGCATTGTATGGTAGGAGATGTAGGTCTCCGGTTGGTTGGTTTGAGGTGGGTGAAGTCGCTTTGATAGGTCCCGAGCTAGTTTATGAAGCCATTGAGAAAGTTTCGCTTATTAGAGAAAGGTTGAGAACGGCTCAAAGTAGACAAAAGTCTTATGCCGATGTTAGAAGAAGGGATCTACAATTTGAAGTAAATAATTGGGTCTATTTAAAAATCTCACCCATGAAGGGTGTGATGAGATTTGGCAAGAAAGGGAAACTTAGTCCCCGATATGTAGGCCCCTATCAAATTTTGAAACGTATTGGGAAGGTTGCCTATGAGTTGGATTTTTCAAATGAGTTGGCCCCGGTTCATCCGGTATTTCATGTTTATATTCTTAAGAAGTGTATTGGAGATTCGGCATCCATTATTCTCCTAGGAGGGCTGGGAGTTGACGAAAGTCTTTCACATGAAGATGTTCCGGTAAACCGGCAAGTCAAGAGATTGAGAAACAAGGAAATAGCTTCCATGAAGGTTTTATGGAGAAATCATTTAGTTGAGGGTGCTACTTGGGAGGCCAAGGCCGATATGAAGTCCCGATATCCTCATCTCTTTCCTTCTACTCCTATTCAAGGTTTAGGTAAATAGTTCCTCTTGAGTTTTAGTATTTTAGGAGTCATGTGTGTTATATGTGTTTTTCCCATGATTTCCTTATGTTATGCATTTTCTTGATGAAATTCATGTTTACTAAGAAAATGGGTTTTCATGATTTATGATCCTCATATTGTTGTGCATTTAGTATGAGTTGCCTATTTGACTTCATGAGATGAGTTGATGAACATGCCTTAATATGCTTTTGAGAGTAATTGCATATTGACTCCATGATATTGTGTTGAGCATGCTTTTAGTTGGAGAAGGTAGTTCCTCTCCTATGAATATGAGAAATGTTGAGCTTCATGCATAATAGGTTGTTAGATGTAGTTTCTACTTCCTTGTGTTGCATTGATTATGTTTGAGATGGAGTTGAAGTTTCCTCCTTTGAATTGGGCATTATTTTGATGTTTCATGCATGATGGGTTGCTAGTTCTGAGTCTTTTATTTCGTAAGGTGTCTAGATCGTCATTCGAGGACGAATGTTCCCAAGGGGGAGATATTGTAACACTCCGAAAACTAGTAGGCTAAACTAGAGCTTGATGTGAAGGTTAGAGTCATGAACGTACCTCCCCGTACCTAAAAATATAGGGTTTTGTGTTAGAAAGTTAAGGTACAACCCCCAAGGACCAACCAAGGGTCCTTGAGGAGAACCCTTAGAAACTGCCTGGCAGTGACCCACGGAGGGGACTCACGCCTCGTGGGTCAGCCCACGCCCCGTGGGTGAGGGGTCGTGGGCCAAGGCCTCAGAAACAGGCTCCAGTAACTCCACCCATGGTTCACCAGCACACCACGTGGGTCTATCCACAGACCATGGTCATGGGTGGTCACCTGTGAACGGTTTTGGTGAGTTAGTTGAAGGGCACTTTGGGGTTTTCCGGTTTTAGTTAATATTAAGTGACGTCGTTTTACACTAAATTTAGACTAACCATATAATGATTTAAGACCCCTAAATTAAGTCATCTTCCTCATAATTCCAAAATCCCAAATCAAAACTAACTTTTCCCCAAAATTCTCTCTTTAGAACTTCAAGGAAGAAGAAGAAGGAAGTTGGAGCTAGGGTTGAAGGAGCAAGGTTTTCTCCTCAAATTCATTGAATTTCATTGCTAAGGTATGGTAGCTCTTCATCCATGGATAGAATTCATCCATGGAGTCCCTTCAAAACTCAATTTTAAAGATAGAAATTCCCCAAAAGCTAGGGTTTGACTCCAAGTCATGGATTCCTTTTTAAAACGATTTTAATGATTTAATTACTTTATATTATGATTGAATTGATGATTTATTATGGTTTTTATGTTGAAATCCCCCTATTCCCAAATTATGACCTTGTGATGTGGGTGAATTGATGAAAGAAGGATATTATGAGATTATGTTTATAGTAATTGAGCTATTTGAATAATGTTATCATCCATGTCTAATGTAGTAATTATAGATGTGTTGATGGAATATGATTAATGGTCCTTGAAGGGTAAAGTATGAGAATTATGCATGATTCTGAGATTTATGTATATGATTTAAGAACACTTTGAGAGTAAAGTGATTATGATTATGATCTAGTTGTTGTGTTGTTGAAAGGTTATCCTCATATACATACCTATGTATGAATATGATATGATATGATATGAAAGGTTTTCTCACAATATGATGATTCTAAGGTTGAAAGGCTATTCTCACCTATTGAATCTATGAGCTATAGTAAGAGTTATGTTGGATTGAGTGTCAAGACATTCTTCCATGAATATGAAATTAAGTCGAGACTTAATATGAACTCCGTGGGAATTAATTCTTAGCACCGAGTGGATAGTGATATGAGATGGAAGCCCTCACGATTGTAGAGGTCGGGTTTCTAGGAGCAATCTCTTGGGATAGAAGCCCTCAATTTAGTAGAGGCTGGGTTTTCTAGTAGCAATCCCCTTATCCCATAAACTATGTGCCCTCATAGGTATTTAGCTAGTGGATCCACCTAAGCTAAGAGTATGATTCAACCTTAGGCAAGTAGGATAACCCCTTTTCGGTGTAGGGTAGACACCGGATTCCATGTTAAGCTCACATGGTCTATGTCGGTTAAGGCTTATCCCACTATGCTAGTATGAACAAGAATATGAATTATGGACTATAGCTACTCAAGAAGCTTTACTTAGTATGGGTGAGATTATGAGATCTTATTCATGCATTGTACAAGTATGCTTTGAGGATATTTATGGTGTGTTCCTCTTATGGTATGATGATCTATGAGTTGATTATTCTTATGACTTGTGCTTTTCCATAATCTTCAAAATGATGCTTAACTTAGTAAATTGCATGCATTCAACTAAAATGTCCCTTTTATAGCATGTTTTCATGATTTTTATGCATGGCTATCATACGTAGTGCATTTTTGTACTAACCCATATTTTCCTACATTTTCCCCAAGTGTAGGGTGCGGTTCTCAAGGTGGTCCTTATTGTGGCTAAAGCTTGGATTTGCTCATTTCTCCTAGCTTGTTGGTGAGTCCTCATGATTCGAGGACGGATGTTTTCATTTAGTAGTTTCATTCTTGTATTTCCCTTTCGGATTATGTTGTATGGGTTGTGTCCCTATTTGATTCAAGTATTGTAATAGATGGCTATGTTGAGACAAGTCTAGACTTCCGCTTTCCTTTATGAAAATTTTGGACTTGAAATGCGTTTTTACTCTTATTGTTCTAATGTTTTATGTTATGATATGCTAAGTGGCTTACATGGTACCTTTCGGGGTTCTATGTGCCTTGTTACATCTAGGGGGTACCCCTGGGTCATGACAAATATCGTGTCGGAACGTGACACCCGATCCAATAGTATCGTGCCGGCTCGTTAAATTCTTGTTTTTTTTAACTATTTCACCACATGTGGAAGTGGTGGTGCCAGCACTATCTAATTTTTTTCATTACTCATGCACTTGGGTATTTCGTAAGTTGAGGATAAAACATTTAACTTTTGCGTATATTACAATTAATGAAAAATCATTTTGAATAGAGTCGATGTCATATAATAATAATTCTTCAACATAACTAAACTTGTTAATTCCATTAAAGTATCAATAAGTTATAACACTCCTATAAAAAATATATCACAACCAAAGAATTTTCATAAATAATTAAGGCATTTTAGAAGGAACAAAAAGAGATTTTTATCAAATTTTAATTTAAATAGGATGATCGGGGTGGTACAATAAAACTTTCAAATTTAAGCTCGTACAGAGAATAATCTTAAACACCCATGGTGTTACAAAAATATTAATAGATATTAATAATGTTATAACTTTATAAAAGAAATAATGTTTATTATTCAATTTATATGATTTTAACAAAGATAAGTCTTTAACTACTCATAAAAATTGAGCGATTTCGTACTTTGATAACGGCCTATTAGAACAGAAGATATTGCCCTTTAGAGATTCAAGGTATTTTTTCTTTGATGTTAACATCATAGATATTGTTGCATGTCAATATTGTTGAAGGCATTATAGGAATTAGCTTTATATTTTGCAAACATGATTTGTAAGAGGAGATTAACTACCCCACTAGGCATGTAAATTTGTTTGCAACAAATTTTCTCTGGTTTGAAAAATTAATTGCAATAAAAAAAAAAAAGTGATTTTATTTATCAAGGTTGTGGGTACAATTTTGTGTATTATTCTTAAATTTTCACCACGATTCAATAGTCATTAGTAGTATATTCCTCAAAATTTGAACCTCCTTAAGATATCTTGAGGAAGAACACATCTTGATTACCTAGACTTTCAGAAAGACAATATTTGATGTCTTGATCTTTTTATGAATATCAAAAGTTCATGGGATATTCAAGTGCCTCTTCGAAATATATATACTCCTTTACTTAGGTGTGAGCTAGAATTAGAATAGAGTAACCTTTAAATAAAATTTGACGGACATTTCACTTGTCTCATCATAGAGTAGAAATGAGACTATAAAAGAACCATAGAAATTCTGTAACAAGCAGTACTAGTGGCCATTTGGGCACTACACTACTACAGAATTCAAGGTCATTTTCCAGTGGTAGCTGAATGATGAGTTGTTCAGTTTCGTAAATATGTGCTCAGTTTGGCCATTTGGGCACTACACTACTACTGAATATTCACTGCATATCTGTTTCCGCTGTGGACCTCAATCTCATAATATATAGCCCAGAAAGAGGCTGGCCCAACTTAAATGAGATATTATAGGTTCGGTATGATCTATCATTCTTGCCAATACATTATCTTCATTTTGCTTCAGAGAGAGAAAAAAAAACACACAAGAGTCAACAAATGAACAATATTTTGGCCAAATCCACTGGATTTCTAAAACTCGCCTTATGCAATTAAGAGAACGCATCTAACACCAAATTAGTATTGCCTTCAGCAAGAACTAAAAGTTGAAATTGGTGCTCAAACTTGGCCTGGGGAGCATGCAGCTCTCAAACAGGCACATAAACAAACACAGTTAAAAACCACAAATGAAACAGTAAATTGAGAAGAAATGTATGAGGTGTTAATCCTGAGGTTAACTCAAAACCAGTCATAACAACACTAGATCAAATACGACAATTTCATCTAGGATTGGTGGTTTTCTGTTTGGCCTTCTCTATAAGAGGTCTCAGCTGCTTCTTTTCAGCTAGAATTTTCAAAAAGTTGAACAGAAAGGGTATATAGTTGTGCTTCCGACGGATATTTTCAGTTTTCCATTTCTTGAACTTCTCCTCCTCCCTCAATATCTTATCACTAACAGCTTCAATACCAGAATTTACCTCTGCTAAGGATTTATTTAGTGATTCCACCGGGCTGCTATCCACCATTCTCTCCGACTGGGATGCAGCCACCTGCTGCAGAATACGCTCCCTCCTCTTTTGAAGCTCCTTCAGCTCTGCAGTATACACCTCTTTCCTGTTCTTTACTACAGCCATCAGATTGAATCTTATTTCACTTTGGGAATACCTCTCAATACGTTCCTGAATAACTGGTTGCACCATGTGCAACCACTCAATATCACCTTGCCCACCAGGGCATGGTCCAAGACTGATTGGTCCCTCCTTCAATCCATCAAGCTCATACAACACACCGTCCACAGGTATATAGCTGATAAAATGATATACATCATCATCTTTTCCAGCAGCTTTCTGCTCCTCGGGCACAAATGGCTCAGGTCTTGCAAAACTATTATGAGCTGTGCGAATTGCTTCACTGTTATTGATAGCTAAACCTTTAAGCTCCGGTGGGAAATTCTTTGTGAATTCTTTTAGTGCAGATAATTCTGGGCCAATATCAACATCTGGACTGTTCAGGAGGATTGAAAGGATTGCTTGGGTAGCACAAGCATTGTTTATCACCTGTTTCACATCATCAAGAAAGTTACATGTCATAGTGTGCTAAGAAACTCCTAGTAGTTTAACCACATATATCATGTAAAGGTATTTGACCTGACTAGCAAAGAATAGGTTTGGGTTTGGGTCCTTGATCACAAGGCGATCATCTTTTTCACCAGGACGCCATTTGAAAAGGAATATCAAACCGTACACAGGCCTGTAAAAAATCAAAAGATAAATTATTATTTCCTTTTTGAAAAACTTGGAGAATCACAAGCTTGAAGCCCCCGAGAATAAATTGTTCGCACAAAACCATACAACTAATGCTCAAGTGGCAGAATTGATTCACCTAAGACTGTTGAGCTCATCAAGATCCAAAGAATACAACTCCTCGACCTGTTTCAACATGGAATAGTATGAGAAGATAAAAAGTTAAATCACCCAAAAGAAGAATACAACTCCTCGACCTGTTTCAACATGGAATAGTATGAGAAGATAAAAAGTTAAATCACCCAAAAGAAGGTAAACCAACCATTTTAACAGTCCATCCTTCCCAATCCCCCCACCTATTCCTTTGGTTTGTCTCATAGGAAAAGCATATCAATCATAGCTTATCAGCTTCTACAGTGAGGGCAGAAGAACTCCTCCATATAGAAATGAGATAACCACAGAGATATTGAAAGAGTTTTTTTTTTTGTTTTTTATTCTCTGGAGAAAGAAACAACTTGTATTCTATTTCCAAAAAAATCAAAAACCTGCCACAACAAGTAACTGATTCTAGATCTTCCATACACTCCTGTTTACACCAAAAATGAAACAACACTAAACAATTCATCTTCTCTTGTTCTGGAAGCACCAAGAAGATACAAAGGGTTTAACAAACAAACATTTGTCAGCTTTTATACAGTTGAAGTACTACAAAACTAATGAGCTGACAAAATCCTCAAAAAGCATCAAAATTATTAACAGGGGAAAGGTTAGCCCAACTAAATAGGCTAACCGACATCTAGCCTCCAAAATCCTGTTGAAGTTAATACGCCATCAAAGCATCTGTGATTCCTCTCAATCCAAATACACCAGAAAATGCTTGCAGGCACCATGTTTCAGATTTTTCTGATGGTCTTGCCAACTTCCGTTGAGCTCCTGCTCACATAGGCATCTCTTACGGATAAAGGTACTGCCCATTTCAATCTAAAAATGTTTAGAAACAGATTCCAGATGTCTGTGGCCACAGGGCAGTGAAGGAGCGAGGTTGACTAGCACATGAAGCATCTGTTTGCTCGTGAAAAGTTCTTTCTAGTTAGGTTGTCTTGGGTGAGGCAAACACCCTGTAGAGCCAACCAGCACTTTAGGTGGAAGTTTTGTTTTCCAAACTAGTTTGGGCCATAACTCAATTATAATATTGTCTGAGCACAGGTCAGCACACCTTAACACCTAACGGTGTAAAGACCTTCCTTAGCGTTGCCCCATTTCAGTTTGTCCTTTATCTGGGGGTTTGTTGTGTATTTCTCTAATGTTTTCAGCATGTCAATGAGCTCATCTATCTTCCAGTCACTAAGGTTCCTCCTAAGATGGGTCCCATGTGTTGACTTCTCTATTATGACAAATAATAGAATCTGAATTGCCTGCAACAAGGAACATATTTGGGAATACTTTCCTTCAGTCTACACATGAGGCCTAAGACCTTCCATGGCCATTGTTATCAAAAGCGAAAAGCGCAAAAAAGCTCTAAGGTCCATGAGGGCTTTAAGCGCAGAGCGCAAATAAAGAGTGGGCTTTAATGAAAAAAGGCGCAAAGGTAGAAAAGAATACAAATATATATGTTTAGTCCAAGACTAATAATTATAAACATGAATGACAAATATAAGACCAAAGAAATTGAAAAAACATTATGATAAAGTGAAATATCAATTATTTAGTGTCACTTCTTCATACAAGGCTCATTGGCAAGGAAATGTTTGTCTTAGAACCTTGATGACGACATTGAAGCGCACATAAAGCGAGGCGAAGCACTCAACACCTTTTGAGCCTCACTTCAGGGCTTAAGCGCGCCTTTGATAACACTGGTACAAGGGGGGAAGGGGGGGGGGGAGCTTCCCCTATCATAGGAGAGAAAGCCCTTTGTTAATAAGGATAGAATATTTCACTGTCGTGATGCACTACCTGATCCATTTTTCTCCGAAACCCAACTACTTGATGATTGTAATAAGAAGGGCCAGCTTAGTTTGTCAAAGGCTTTTAAACATCAAGCTTGAGTAGGAGCCTATTTCCACCCGACTTTAACTTCCAATCCATAAGCTCATTTGCTATGAATGCAGGATTAATAATTTGTCTTCCCTTAATGAAAGCAATCTAGTGGCCTGAAAACTTATGGGTTTGTCTTTTCTAAGTTCAATAGCTCCTTTTCTTTTTGGAATGAGAATAAAGGATGCATTGAAGGACTTGACCATGATAGTGAATATGATTGGGAATAGCTAATATGGCATGCTTAATGGTGTCCCAAGCTTTCTGGTAGAAGGCCATTGTGAATCAATCAGGACCAGGACCTGGACTCTTGTCAGGAGCACATTAGTTGATGGAATCTCTCACTTCCTCCTTAGTGAAAGCAATAATTGTATAAGACTACAGGATGGATAGAGGAGAGAGATGAAAAAACCACTATGGAGGAAAAAATCAAAGGACAAGCTTTTTCCCTTCAGCTAAGTTCTAACAGAAGGTATTCGCCACTCACCAAAGAAAATGGTTCCTCGAAATCCCTAAACTTAGCAAACATACAACTTGCCTCAAAGCTCTATACGGTGCTAGCAAAGATAACGACTCCATTAAGTCGCATTACATGCATCTGGCATGTAACTGGTAAATACGGAGTTCAAGTTCATAATTGCATGTACAAAAGCAATAACTACATGGGAGATATATGATCATCAAATTAAGGGGGAAAAAAAGAAAGGAAATCGCCAAAAAGCATATTCTCGTTGCTTAGTGGAAATGTTCAACACAACTAAGAAATTAAACCACCTAAGATTGAAGAAAACAAATCATAATTTTAGAGTAAACTGAAAATACCTGCACACCTTTTACTTGCATCTGCTGCATAAGTTCAGTAAAAACCCCTGCACACAAGCAATGTCCGTATCTTTCATATTCAAGGGTTTTACCAAGTGAAACGAAACAGGGAGATCATCAGAAAAGCTTATCATAGCGACTACAAATTTAGAGGTTAGGTGGATTCAGAACCCCAAATTTAGTAGCTATCATCAACGATGAAGAAGATGTTACATTAGATTGTTCCCAGTCGTATTGAACACTACAGGAAACCAGTCTCCTTCTCCCCCACACCCAAAACCCACACTCAAGAATTTTAATTTTTTTGGGGTAATAGTTGTGTCCAGACCAGCTTGTGTGCATCACAATAATAAAGATGAAGAAGAATATTGCATTGCATTGTTTCTTCTCCTCTTGAGCAGCACAACAAACTGGTCTTCGAGCCACACATGAATCTCTGCAGCCCTTCTTCCCTGCCATTAAAAACTCGTCCATTGAAAAAGCCAAAAAAAAAAAAGAATCACCAAGTAGTCATTCAAGCCCTCATTTGACTAAGTTTGATGAGAAGAAATGGTATGTACGTTTGATACAAGGTTAGGAAAAAGATTTCAGACTCTGGCCCAGATCCCTATGCCTAGGGGTTTGCAACGATTGAGTGAATTAATTATCTTTACATCAACAAGAGAACAAAACAACTGTATCACTCCACTTTAATTGAGAATGATATCACTCCACTTTTAGCACCCCTAGTTTTACTGGAAAGAGATCTTCTGAGTGTCTCTTTCCAAGCCCTCATGCCTAGGGCTGCAATAACTGAGTTTTTAACTTTTATCACTACCTGAGCAAGACAACATAACTGTCGAAAGACATAATAAATCTATACTAATGTACTCTCCGCAACAGTTTAAGACTTTAGATGACATGGTCAACACTTCAACATAGTATCACTGCATGGGGAGGTTTTGGGCTCGGGTTTTACTGCCACCCATTATAAAATAATAAGTAAAAAACTTAATTTTTCATATAGCAATAGCTCATTTTGTTTGAAGAATTCGTCAATATCCATTTTTGCATTTGAAAGTGATAAAATTCATATATCCCAAAGACCACCAGTAAAACCATGCTATAAGAAAGAGAAGTTGAACATCAGACGTTACACAAGTTATCAAAAATGAGTAGGTATCCTTCAACAAAAGGAGATACATCCAATCAATGAAGCAATATGATGTCATCCCAACGTACAGCTCCATACGTTGCATGCACAAACTACCAAAATTAGGAAAATAATTTATGACATGTGGATGATAAAACTTTTTAATACTTAATGATGTGAAATAGGTAGCCTGGTTGCTTAGCCTCCGCTGATGGATGGGTAAAATGAGGAAAATTTTGTGTATCATAGCATGCAGCACATATGCCCTTTCAGACTAACTTTTATTGTCCAAAGGCACAAAAGGCGGTGCTTGAGGGGAAAAGAACTATATGTCCCCTATTGGCTAGTACAATGCAACAAAGGGAAGGATAGCTTCTTTCTGTAAATGTGATACAAGTGCAAATATTTTACATATATTAGCAGAACCACAAATTATTCTTTGAAAACATTTTTAACCCTATAGCTTAATACAAAATAGACATAAAAGAGAACTTCTCTTTTTGGAGGTCCATGAACTGTTGATGGTTTAATTGACAGTCCCAATAAAAGCTTTTATTTTACAAGGACAATCATAATTAAAACTAATAGTAGCTACTTCTCCAGCAGCCAGGAAGGACATCTACAGTTATCTTTTCTTGCATCTACAGTTATATCGCTGCAAGACCATTGCAGCAATATTGAAATCTAAACCAATAAAAGATGAATTACAAGCAGGGAGTGGAACACAAGGAGAACATCATTGGAGCATGACTAACATTCACAATTTAAAGTGTGAAGTCATGTGAGATGAGACTGAAGCAGCTAGAGCTGATATTGAGTATTGTGCCTTAGTTTCTTTTAGAGACTGTCTTCCTGTTTACATTAGAGTGAAGTACAATAACCTAACAATCTTTCTATTTTTCTATTTTCCTTTAAGATTATAACATGATCATCTAATACATCATTCTGTTGTCTTACCCATTTGGCTAGAGACTAATGACATGTTCAGAAAGCCATTAGTAGTAGGGATTATACTTTCAACTCTTGACCAAATAAGGCTGGGACACTTACCAGGATCAGACTCAATAGTGCACCACGACATGATTGTAAATTACCTGAGAAAGTAGAGAGACCATTAAAAAAAAACAAAAACCAAGGGCGGCTCAACCCTAAAGCCCCAAAAAATAAGGGCCTTCAAACAACCAAATTCAGTTCGCTCAAATACAAAAACATACCACCAAAAAAAAAAAAAGACCAACAGGCAAGTTTAAAGGAAGAACCAAAAGCAGATGAATGAAGGAGATATATACATATACATACATACACGAGACAACCAGATCTGATGAAGGTGCACCGTATTAACCAATACAACACTTGCAACTAGGGCTGGACGTTCAGTCGATTCAGTTCGGTTTTTCGGTTTTCGGTTTGGCAAAAATGTGAAACCAAACCAAATTGAAATAAATTCGGTTTGGTTTTCGATTTAACCAAATTTAATTAACAATGGTACATTTTCAAAATTCAATCACTTTTGTTCAATTTCTTCAACCTCTCATGTTCTTACAAGTCACATCCAATTCTATGGCTTTGCAAATGTATTGACAGTTCAAGAGAAGTTAAAAAATTAATGGTAGAAATTCAAAAATTAGGCCATGACTAAACTCAAAAGGACATAGTTTTACCTGTTCAAATATCAAGTTTGTGCAAAAGGTAAGTTTTCACCTCAATACCTCATCACCTGTGGCCTGTGGCTGTGTTGCTGTTCAAATAATACAACGATCAACATTAACTTCTATAACAATCAACACTCAACAATACTCTCCAAACTCCAACAACCTGTGCCATACAGTTTGGTTTTTGCCTTTCAAATTTCAACAAGCATTTAACTTGCAACTTACCATATCATTGACTAAAATATCCAAACAAATCTGATAATTCTTGTCAAGCAGTCCAGCAGGAAGCAACATTAACAAACTAGTCGAGTATAAGAATAAAAAGACTATCAATAGTCAAGACAACAACACTAGAAAATTCAACAAACATGTGCCCAGCCCTAAAATAGAGTTACAAACTAAAGTCCAGCTGCCTAAAAATAACTTAATTACAGAAAGACACCTAAAAATAACTTAATTACAGAAAGACACAGTACATTACAGTTCACGATCACACAAATAATCACATAGTTGCATACTTGCATTCAATGATTAAAAAAACCATAGAGGAAGCAGTACATTTTTTTCATATTCTTGCCATGGGTTTTCATCAGATTTTGCTCTTAATGTGTATCTAACAATTTATCTTGCTGTTTCACTTCAAGAATCTCTTTTGTTGTGATGGGTTTTTACCAAATGTTGCTCTTAGTAATGTATCCCTATGTTTGGTATTACAGCTATAGAATTCATAAGTTACACATGTACCAACACATCCTATGTCTAAAACGCCCTGTGTATTTTAATTTTCCTTTCTATAACCAACTTCTAGAATGCTACACTGCTACTCGTGTAATCGTGTTGTTTTCCACAAGTTTATTAGATTCCATTATTAATCTTCCATCAAAAGAAAGATTTCCAGATGAGAGTTGGGACACGATGAGCACTAACCTTCGAGGCGCGACTCGCGAGCGAGCACTGAGCAGTGGCCAGTGAGAAGCGGCTTGCAGGCTGCGAGCACTCAGCGTGGACTGAGCAGCGGCTGGCCTGAACTTAAGAGTCGACGAGCTGAGAGATGAGAGTTGAGAGACGAGCTGCGGCTTAACGTAAGTCGAGTTGAGAGATGGGAGTGGGATTTCAGTTTAGGGATTTTCTTATTGGAATTTGGGTTGTGGGCTATGGGCCGGCTGGGGCATGGGCACCCGTGTTAAAGGGGAAATTACACATCTAATAGTTATGATCAACTTTTACATATATCAAACATAAAAATCGTATTTATATGTTATAACTATAGTTTGTATAATGCGCTCTATATTAAATTTTATGTTTGTTATGAAACTTTTGATTTGTATATTTCGCTATAAACATTCAATTTTATACAAATTGTTCATATTTGTACAAATTCATTTATACATTGTAATTTGTATAATAAGATTTATATTTGTATAATTTTAAGTGTATATGACGAAAATATATGTAGTTGTATTTGTATTTGTATATACATTTTTCTCTCGCTTTATACAAACGTAAACGCATTTTATACATTTTATACTGAAATGTATAAAATGGTTAATTGTATATCGAAAATGATTAATTGTATACCAAATCAGTTGGCAAAAAAGGGGGATGTTTGCTGCGAATTACAATTAAAATAAACTATGGCTATATCATTTAATTTGAATTAATAATTTGCTATTTCATACAATTTTTCCAGTTATAAATGTAAGGAAAATTTTCAAAATGTCAATATTTTAGAATTTAATAGGATTTCTTATCCACATTTTCAATATTTATCAAAAGTGTTAATATTTAATTTGTTATATATCTAATTGATTTATGTATTTATTAATTTGTTTAATTTGAAAGTATACAATTATTTAATAACAGAAGGAAGAAAATCAAGGGAGAGAATATTTGTCACGACCCAAAAATGGACGTGATGACACTCGTCTTATTCCACCAAGACAAGTCAGCCTAAAACTCAGCCTTTACAATAAAATGCGAAAATTTATAATCAACTTAAAAATACCCCAAAACCTGGTTGTCACGTGTACAAGCCTCTAATGTGTTATAATAAAATTGAAAGAAAATACAAGTCTCAAATGACATTGTTTCTAGAATAGAACAAGATCATAATTAAGGAGAAAGAAGGTCCGTTGAAATGACAAGTAACTACCTCACAAACCTCCACAAGAAGCCTTGGACAAGGAGAAGAGAAAATATCACAAAGGTCCGAGCTAGTAACCTACAAAAAAATGTAGTAGTAAGGGGTGAGTACCAAACCACACGGTACTCAGCAAGTAAACTTCTAAACACAAACTAAGGAAATAGAATACGGGTACTCCTTACACCCCAACCGAACCTCCATAACTACAACCTGCATAAAACCAGTCCAACCTAACAGTTCACAATTTATACAGCACACAACTCAACAACAACACTCTAACAATTACATATCCTCAACAACCAGCTCAATATTCATCAATCACAACTATTACCTGCATAAAACCAGTCAAACCTAACAATTCACAATTTACATAGCTCACAGCTCAACAACAACATTCTAACCATTACATATTCTCAACAACAAACTCAATATTCATCAATCACAAGTTCCACAGAAAGGCACTCACAAAATCAGCAACACACAAGATCAGTTCACCAATGATAAAGATGTGCGATGGAATGAAATGCAATGTCAAGTATAGTAATGTAGACCTAATGATACACACCCGTTGTCTCTTAGTCCGGGACCCATGGGGGACATATTTGTCCATGCATCCGTCGCGGTGCGCCACACGTCCCTCAATAATAGTATCCATCGTGGCGCGCAATACATCCCTCGATATATAGTATCAGTCGTGGCGGGCGACACGTCCCTTGAAATATAGTATCCGTCGCGGCGCGCGACACGTCCCTCGAAATGATACATCCTCTTTAATTTCATATTCTTTCTCAATTCACATAACATTTGTCACAACCATGTCTCAAAACAATGCAAATGACATGTTCACATAAATAATGAGGAGATGGTCATTTTCATAATAATGCACAATTCACAACAACACAATCATGATACAACATCAACAATTAGTCAATAAGCTTTTCAAACCATTCTCAACACATCACACCCCAACAATTAATCACATTGCATTTTATTCCCCCTTTTTCATCATTAGAATTATTCAATATGGACAAGTCAACCCATCACCAAGTCTCATTACCTCAACACATACCACAAGGAAATACATGATTCTATACACTTAACAAGGGTTTAGAAATCCACTTGCCTCAAATAGTCGAACAATCACTTCAGGACTTGAGTCTTCCCCTTTCATAAAGCTTTAAATTGCTTCCAATCTATCAAATACATAATCTTCACAAGAATATGAATCTAATGACACCCATATTACTAAATTTAGTTTCGGCCCGAAAATCAGATCAAAAAGTTATCCCGAGCCACCAAATTCAAATCTGAAATGTTCTTTCAGATTATGTTTATCCGTGATAAAACAAACTCGCATGCAAAATTTCAACTAAAACGGATCGTTATTCGACCCCCAAATCAAGATTTTGATCTAAGAATCCTAGACCTATATTTTCTTAAATCAATCCAAATTCTACAGGTTTATATCCTAAAAATCTATTCATTATCACATAAAATTTAATGAAAAGGACGAGAATCATTACCTTAACACTAAAGCATAAAAAATTCTATTTTTCTCCTCCCTTTTTCTCCCTCTCTTCTTTTTCCGTCAACGTTCTTTGTCTTTGCGTTACTGCACAACAGCAGGAACCAAATATGACTTGTGACTCCTTTTTTTTCTTTTCCTTATTTTCTATTGGGTAGTTGCCCTTTTTTAATTTTATTTTATTTTTATTTTATTTATTTATTCATTTAGTAGGGCACTTTTCCCCTTTTTAATTATTTTATTTTCTTTTTCTTTCCTTCTATTTTTTCCCACTATTCTTTAACAACAAAATAATCCTTTATTAAATCTGAAAATCATGTCACTCATAAATTTTCTTTTTCTTTCCTTCTATTTTTTTCCACTATTCTTTAACAACAAAATAATCCTTTATTAAATCTGAAAATCATGTCACTCATTCTTATAACTCATAAATTATTTATAAAAGCTACTAAAATATCACGACCCAAATTCACAAGTCGTGATGATACCTATGTTCCACACCGATAGGTAAGTCAACCCAACATATTTTACCAATTTTAACTAACTAATGAGATAAAAAGGTAAACAACGAGTAAAAATCTCCAACACTAAGTTCTTTATAAATATTAAATGCGGAAAGCTAAAATACCACCCAGGAATTGGTGTCATAAGTACAAGAGCTTCTAAATATGATGCAAGTCTGAAACTAAATGACAAATCCAAACATAAGGGATATCCTGTCTGAATACTAAAACAACAGAATAAATAAAAGATAAAGGAGATGTGGGCCACAGAAAAGCCAAGGAGCTCACCACAACTTCAAGATACTCCAAGGTCGGACTCAAAAAGCTCCACGAGAGGTGGTCGTATTAAGGATCGAATCTACACCACAAAAGAGTGCAACAAGTATAGTATGAGTACGAAACCACGTGTACCCAGTATATCTCATAGACCGACAACAAAAAAGTAGTGACGAGAGTTCATATAAGAAAATCAGTTATTTACTTATACAAGTCTACACTATACTTACCAGTCAAGTGTCAACAAATAGAAGTAAATCAAATATCAAGTACTTTCCAACCACCAATAAAACATATAATCATCAAGAATGAAGGATGTCATGAGATGCAATGCAGTATGACACCATGAAATGATATGCCTCAGTGCCAAGTACTCTCTCAACCGTATATACACGATACTCCTCGAAAATACATCGAGAGTTCATGACCCATGGGAGACTCGTGAGGTCCATATACCAACACGGACGATCTCCATGTGTCTGTGCGGACGATCCAATGCACTATCATAAAATTAAATAATTTTCGCACGGATGATCTCCACCTACCCAAATTATAATCTTAATATCTCACCATCCCCAGCACAGACGATCTCCACGTGCCCAACTTATATGCAATCTCATGTCAATGCATGTGCACAATGTGATATCAATGAAAAGGGATGATAATGCATCTCAATCAAATGTCAATATGACATGTAATCACCTTAGCTATCACAAGTATACAGGTTCAATACATAACACAATCACACATAATAAATCAAGTCAATAATATATCAGCTAATGCCCATATGCTTTGACATTCTCGGATTACAATCCCCATTCTATAGTAATAAACTTTCCCTTTATAACACCAGTACTCATACCAATGTCCGTCACACCATTGATACGAGACCCCCGTCTTTCGCCCTTACCCATGGTCTATTTCATTTTTAATCTTTAATTAGAAAAAAACGTCCTTCAATGAAGTTTGCAAGTCTTAACATACCTTGAATGCCGAACACATATCACGAATCCTCAAGATTTTCCCTTTCCCTTTCGTAAGGCTTCAAAATTTTCCCAATCTATCAAATATGCAATATTCTCAAACAAGTGAGTTCATTGCCACGTGTTACTGTAGGTCTAGCCTAGATCCAAACTCATAATAATATATAATCAAACTCCTAAATTTGGTGTCAACTGATATGTCAAGACACATATTTGTTAAATATCAAGCCTAGAGTTAAGCTCCAACCCCTCCAAATATCATAAATCTATGAATATTCGTATAATAAAATATAACCAAACTTAATTTCCTATATCCATATATTAAACTTCAAGTATAAAGTAATAGTTATTAGAAAATTTCAAAATTTATAAAACCAAATAATTCCCACCATGTAACCTTAACAAAAACGAAAGTACCCAGAATTCAATTGCACTATCTTGTTTTGCCAAGTATTAATTTTTTTCCTACTAACCAATTTTTCTACCCCCAAACAGAACCATCACGTGTTGCAGCAACTAATCCAAAAATTTGATTCTTTTCCTGTATCTTTCCAACCAAAAAGTCTAAAATTTTCAACCCTATGCCACTGATTCCTAACCCACTAAATTGCAACCATTTTCCACCAATCAATAAAGCAATAAGTGACGCCCAACATTCCAAAAATCAAGATATATAT